TGGGAGTTGGGCATCTGAGTGCTAAAGACAAGCACACTCCTGTGAGCTGTTTTTGGGTAAACTTGCAGTTTTGGGACAAGTGATTCAGACCCTTGGTCTGTGTTGGAGTCAGACAGGAGTGTCTGACTCAGCAAGACAAGGTACTGGAGTCCTGAGCTGGCAGGGAAAACAGAAGCAGGGGTAGTCTTGGCACATCGAGTGGCAGCTCCCAAGGGGGTTTCTGTGATCCAACCCGTCACAATATGTACACTGGAAAGCAAGATCACCATGTTTTCTAAGGCTCTGAAATTCCTTTAAGAAAGTCGTAGTAAAATTCTGGCAATGCAAACAATCTCTCTCTCTTTCATTTTCAGGTTTTACAATGAGAGTGATTTTGCCTAACTTAACATTCTCCTCTTCCAGGAATGCCGGCAGCTCCTACTCACAGTTATGACTACAACACAACTCGAAGACTCAGCAAAATATTAAGCATTTAGGCAGCACAGCTGTCTCTGAACTGATTCACACACACAGTGACTGTAATCCCTTCCCACATTCTAACTATGCAGAATGGTTGGTGAGTTACTGGGCAGGCAGAAATGAGAATCTTGCTACTTGTTTCTGTGACTGTGATTTTCAACCAGTTATTTGGAACTGCCAGAAGTTACAACTTACACTAGATTCTTCTCCCTACAGCCCCACAGATTGCTAAAAAAAACAGACCACCATTGATTAGTAAGGTGAAGTATTTTAAAAAAAGAGTTTAAATTAACAACGATATGAAACAAAGAAATTGCCATCTCTGTTAGATGACATCTCAGCTCCGACTGTCGGACCACACAACTCTTGGTGGGTGAAATTTTGGTGGATGAAATTTTCACAGTGAACAAGGGATTTAGACACACAACTCTTGTGAATTTCATTGGAAATTCATGTGCCTAAATCCCTTTGGCTTTAAAAATCTCAACCAACCTGTCTCCCACAACAGCCAATACTTGGTACTTGAAAGGGAGATAGTACAAAGATAGCACTCAAATTCTGGAGGCCCATTAGTTTATATTCCATGGGGCTACATTTCTCTCTACTTCTGAAGATGGAGCACCAACACTGGTAACTTTTATGCCTTCAGGAAGATTAGCTGTTTTGGCAGCTAAGTTACATCTAATTGGCAGTGACTCCAACACCATTTATTTATTAAAGTTTATGCTAACCAAGAGAGTACCCATCCCCACGTCTTGGCACCCTTTACAAACTCAATACATACAATAAAAGTATTAGTCCTTCTCAGTCCTACCAGAGATGTGGTGTACATTCCACGTGGCAAAGAAGAATTCAAAGGCAAATGGGTTAATACAATCTGGCACTGTTGACATACTGCCGCTTCAGGTTTTACTTTGGTCTCTTCCTTGATGAGTTGCCAAGAAAGCCATGCTATGATTTCCCTTAATACCCTGAGATCACAATTTCCCTACTGTCTTATACAGAAAAATCAGAGCTGTCTGTAAATGTACCAAAATGTAATTCTTTAAAAATGTCTATTGCAGGGAGCAGTGGCAGAGAGATTGTACCATTAATGTAAACCATTATACTTCTTAAACCAAAAGCCTTATTCCATTTATACTAAGGCCTCTTTACATCACTCCTGCAGTAAAAAGGGGTTTTAATGTAAATGAGGAACACGTCTTAAATTTTCACTAAATTATACTGGCTGGTGTAGGACAGAGTGGGAAGTGAGGTTTTCCTTTTTTTTTTTTTTTAAACTTGACATAATGGAGTATGAACAACTGTGAGTCAGAGGGTTCCCCCTTAAACTGCTAATGCTCTGTTAAATATGAAAAAAGGTTTGTTCTAAGTTACCCTGATTTCTCTGGTCATGATAGATGGGTCCTGTGATTTTGGTACAGAGATTCTGGAGACTAAAGTCTTAGAAACTTGATACGATGCACTCTTGTCATAAATAAAAAAGAAAAGCTGTTACTCAAGAATCTAATTCTCTTTCCTGGCATAGAATCATAGAATTGTAGGACTAGAAGGGACCTCGAAAGGTCATCTAGTCCAGTGCTTCTCAAAGTGGTGGTCTGCGGACCGGTGCTGGTCTGCGAGCCATCGGCTGCCGGTCCGCGGCAAGTTTCCTCATAAGAGCGTCAAATAGGATAATAATATGGCACCGGTCCCTGGCACATTGGAAAAAAATTGCCGGTCCCCCACATCAGATAGCTTGAGAAGCACTGATCTAGTCTAGTACCCTGCACTCAAGGCAGGACTAAGTATTATCTAGATCATCCCTGAAAGGTGTTTGTCTAGTCTGCTCTTAAAAATCTTCAATGACAGATATTCCACAACCTCCCTAGGCAATTTATTCCAGTGCTTAATAGAATCAACATCCTAGATTGAACATCATGAGTAAGTCCCCAGGATTGGAGAAATAAGTTCTGTCCTGACATGGGCCCTATCAAGAACTTATTGTATGTACACACACACACACACACACGGTAGAAAAGAGTGGAATGGGCCTGTTTTCAAGAGTCAGTAGCTAAGGAGAATATGCAATTTGGAGGTGGGCAGATTTAAAAGGTAGTTTAAAATGTGATTGATGTTGAAAGCCCAATATTTTGTCTAGTTCTCCCTCGCCTTTACATATCCAAATAAATAGGAGGCACTTTTACAGTCCCAGTGATGGGATGGCAATCAGGGACTGCAGATAGTTGTCTGTCTTTCACGATAGTTGACAAAGCTGCAAAGTCAAATTAAAACCAGACCAACCATAAATCAAGATTTAAAAGTAACAGATGTTTCACTTCACAAGACAGGCTCAATAACCCCATATAAGAAGCAGTTGAAACCGCCAAGCAACGCAAACCCTCATTTCAAACAGGAGCCTACAGGACAATTTTGAAAAGAACTCTAAAAGGTCTTGTGGGCTCACATATTTTATAAGTACTGCAATATCCCCAAGAGAAAACAGCCTAATTCTCAAAGCTTGACCCAGGCACAGTATTGAAGCATACAATGTGCCCTTTGCTCAGTGTGCCAGGCTACAGCACACACAAGTTCTTATTTCCCACATCAACCATTGTGGTAAGCAGTTCACTAAGGCTGAATTTGAGACAAGGACTTCTACTTATGAAAAAGCCTCACAGATCAGAAATATTTATGACTGCATTTATGCTTGGAGCTTCATTTAGCCTGATATAAGCAAGGGGTTATTTGATCTCCTAATCCCGATAGGAAAGACGAATAATTTCAAAAGCTTTAGGAATCAGAAATTAGCTAAGTGTACGTATGTGAATGAAACTGTTCAAGTGGACAAGCATTAAAAGTGATTCTTCTTTCCCATTGGGAAGAATAAGAGGTCAAAAGACCCATATTTTTACCAGGCTAAATGAAGCCACAATCTTGTGTTATGCAGGCTAGTAATACAGCTGTGGAATTTCAAGGGTTCAGGTCAGGGTCATTTATTAAAGCATCACTTTCCTCCAGGAGCTCCAAAGCTCCAAAATACCCTGTTCTAAGTCTTCAGTGAAGACTAGTAGACATCACTTGAATCAGTAACTGTTGTTCACTTGAGATGCTGAACTTAGGGTCTCTTTTTTGTCTAGTAGCACCATTGATAGAAGACACTTTACCCCTCTTCTCCCACCCTCCCCCCCATCTTCAAAAATTAGAAAAAAAAATCCCAAGATGCCCTCTGGCCAAAATTCTCTCTCTCAACAAATAGGTTTTGATGACTGAGGTTCTGTCTACTAGTTGCTTCTACATCGCCTCATCATCCCTTTATACGAGTTCCTAAGGTTGTGCGTAAGTTATTGCCGAGTGTCTAATGGGTGCAATATTGGATTGTCCTGGTACGTATGGATGCATGAAACCAGCACTACTTTGCTGGCTGGCTGGCTGGCTCTCTCATTCTGCAGTAGTTAAGCTTTCATTAAAAAAATATATATGTTTCTACTCCTTATAGTTGCAAAAACGGAACTTTCTAGATGTGGACCAACACAGTGCTGTTTTCCTGAGTCTGCAGACTGACAGACACAATAGCTTCACCAGAAATGTGAGCTGCATTCCCTCATCTCATTTGGATGTTAACACTGAAGCCTACTGATACCATTATTGAAATCCACGTTGTCAACTACAATATTTCACTGCAGGCCAATTTCACATTAACATTTGTTGTGGGCAGAGCTTGATTTTTTCCAAGCCTTAATTTACAATATCCCTACAGTACTTCAGACAAGTAAGGCACAGCAAAAGGCCAAATTCTGTGCTAAATGGGTGAAAAATATTTTCCAGGCTACAATATACAGTAGAACATCAGCGTTACAAACACCTTGGGAATGGAGGTTTGCAACACTGAACAAAACATTATGGTTGTTCTTTCAAAAGTTTACAACTGAACATTAAGTTAATACAGCCTTTGAAACTGTACTATGCAAAAAAAAAATGCTGCTTTCCCTTTATTTTTTTTTAGTAGTTTACATTTAATGCAGTACTGTACAGTATTTGCTTTTTTCCTTCTTCCTTTGTCTCTGCTGCTGCCTGATTGCATACTTCCAGTTCCAAATGAGCTGTGTGGTTGACTGGTCTGTTCATAACTCTGGTGTTCGTAACTCTGAATTCTGTTCACTCACCTTCTTTCCCTCTGTGCTATCGCCACTAACGTAGGATAGCTTTCGGCGGACATAGAAGAGCATATCATCCTGCCGGGGGGCCAATTTCTCCATGAAATAAGTAGAAAACATCCAAGTCCAGAACACAATGCGATCATCTTTGAAACAACCTAAGGGGAATAAAACAGGAGAATTAAGAGTTGAAGAAGACATCCTGTCACATTTGATTTTAAGCATGATCCTACGGAAGGATTAGTTGTATGGCTTAAGGTAACATGTTTAACTCTTGCGTGACACCCATGCTAGACAATATGTTTATGGCCAGGTGCTTAGCTGGTGTAAGTTGGCACAGCTCTGATGACAATACAGATAGACAACACTTCACACCAGCTGAGGATCTGGCCCTTAAAGCTTTTCTCTATTTTTTCCAGCTGCTCTGGTGGTGTCATTGGAAAAGACAGAGCCAAGGCACCAATCTAGAAGACATTAGAGAAGCACAGAAAGGAGTTAATTTCAAATGCAGCTAACACCACCATTTGCCAGAGTTTATTACTTAAATCTGTCAGCTTGCAATAGCCTTACCGTATGTTGGCAGGGGAATGTGGTAAGCACTGCAGAAAGTGAATTATTTAATTATCTTTTCTTAGCCAATTCGTATTAATGAGCCCATACCTTGAAGGCACCCTCTAATGCATCCCACATTTGGCAAGATATAAAACTGACCAACCCTTCCCCCAAAATATCCAACCGACCAAAGAGCTTAGAAGGTTTTCATGTCAAACCAAGAAGTCTAATTACGTTACATGGGGAATCAACTTTTCCTTGAGTGGGGATAAGGAGGGTGGGAAATGAAGGGTAGCAAAGTCCTCTTGAATGCAGAAACAAGAACTGCTAACGACACCAGACTTTGAAGTCTCTTGTTCCTGCTAGTTCTGATGCCACAAAAGTGCCAGAGAAGAAGGAGTCGGTGGGAGGAAAGAAGCAGCATGAGACTCAGTCTCTCAGATCTCACTGGGAGAAGGACTTGCAGCAGAGGCTGACTTACAATTTTGTGAAGCTATTTACATAGTTAAATACAATAAAAGGGTAAAGACACTGCAAGGAGCCCCTCTGCAGCCACACAGGGGCCAGTTGCTATTGGAGTCCTTGCCTAGCCAGGTCTTGGAGCACAGAGAGGGAAACAGATGCTGCATCCTCTCATATGGTGGCTGGTAGTGAGGCAACTATGCTTCTCCAGCACTCCTTGGAGCTACAAGAGGGCCTAGTGGGTGAGTGAATTGTGGTTCTCTACCACTTCCATCTGCCCCCAAAGGTGGCACCCCGGTGATGTGCCACAGTCCAGCTTCTTAACTGCTTTGCAGTCCTCTGGACTGAAAGACGCTCTATCAAGTGTTGTTACTTGTTCATAGCAAAGAAACAAAAATACCTGAAGTGGATACTACAGTTACTTTTAATGAATAGAAACAACCACCTCTTTGTAGACTTGTATCCCACAGCTATCTTTCAATGTAGCACATTCGCCTAATAGCAGTGTACTGCATATATGGAATACACAACAATTTCTGTAGAGAAGCACAAATCAATCTTATTCAGTGAGACATAACACTTATTTATGGGGGTATCTGAATTAAGCTTTGAGAGAGTTTTTAGTCAATTGCAAAGAAAGGTGCCATCTCTCATAACAACAAAAATTATTTTTCTTGGACTCTGGTCACCGTCTTCAGGGCTTCATAAGGGACCAGTCAGTCTTTTAATCCACAAATGTTGTTCAGCACATTTTCCTACCTCATTATATGTGCATTTAATATTTAGAGGCGAGACCTTTCTTCCCATTTTTAATGAATGTAGCAGGCAAGGAGATTAGACTTTAAAATCTTTAACCAGAGAAATAGCTGATCGGCGAGACCTTAGATTTCATTTCCAACTAAGTCCAAGAGCAACAGTTCAAACGAAATGAAATTTCACTGCCAGACCATGCAGAGAATACATTAAACATCATCAATAAGCCACAGCATTTGTAGGAAATATCTACTGTATATTAAATGTGATAACCATCATTAATAAAAAGGCTGAGACAGACACAAAGAAGCCAGGATAGTCAAAACGTTTTCAGTAATTTGGCACATTCTCAGCCTGGCTGCAATTGCTTTACTCATTGAGTGGTTGTATTGAAGTCACCGTAACTACTCAAGTGTGCACAGCAACAACACTTGGCCTTGTGTAAAGTTTGTGAGACATTTAATAACAAGCAGTAATACATTAAACTTCATATTTAGCAGAGAACAGAAAACAGTACAGGCACACATCATGACCCACTAAATGTCCCACAGGAATCTGGGCTTGTTAAGTCTCTTGGCTTTTGAGTGCTTGGATTTCAGAGTCTTAACACTGAATTAAATATTAAGGGGCTTTTTATTTAATTTCTCTGATGTTTTACAGAAATGAGTGAGGATGAGGAAAAATGGAGGTGTCATGTACAGTCAGCTTAAAAAAAAAAGTTCTCATGTTCATCACTTGGAAAAAACTTCCTTCAGACTTAGTTTTCCTTCATCAATTAAGTCTATATAACAAGGTAATTTATACGATTATAAAATGTCAGTCTGAACTTGTCACTTAGAAAACCCAAAGCCAACGGATTTAAACTGAACTTTACAAATTCATTCGAGTAATGTATAGGCGACTAAAAATTGGTGGCCAGGAGGGTTTAGAATGGCAATTGGAACTTGGTATACACCGATATCATGGTGATGGGCTTAGTACAAGAACCTAAAATGGACTAGAATGGGTTTTTAATTAACTGGCTATATGTACGTGTCTCCCTTTGACCTTTACTGGATGGATGAAGAGATGTTCAACTCCTATTCACATGTGTCAGAGGCCCAAAGCTACTGTGAGCTGAGGAGAGTTTTCCTTCAACTCAAGCTGTAGGAGTCTCTGCTTTTGGCGTAGGGAGATCCAGATGCTTTCTTAGAGTGCTTTCTAGACAGGTCAATAAACACATGCAAGCAGATATAGGTATCTAGGTAAGCGGTCTAAATAACTAAATACACAGTGTGTTCTGGTGTGGTGTGACTCTATACAATGTTGTACTTAAGTCATGCTTGCAATATTGTTCTATCCGGTTCAGGAACCATGTTTTTGGATCACAATTCAATCTCTGTTGCAGCTGTGAAATTCTGAGTTGACGACATTCAGTGCTATGTGTCATGCATGTGTTACAATAATATAAAACTATTAATATATTGTACCAGAATTATGTTGAAGTAGTTATTGCAATGCACTAGTATAAATGGGAGAGGTGCAGAGAACAGACCAGGTCTGGGGATTTGCACCAGGAACTCCTCAGGGTAGAATATTTACAGAGACAGGACAAGAGGGGAAGGGAGATGAGCTTGACTTATTAAATTGATCATCCCTAACAAGAGAGGAAACGGTCAGCTTCCTTTCGTGCAGTAATGCTGCTGCAATGAAACTGGTTATCCACAGAGCCACAATGGAACTTCTCAGGAAAAACTGGTGACCCAGAAACAAGGACGTGAGGCGGTGACTTTACAACTCCACTTGAGATTTAGGGCAGATTCTCTGTCCTGACTGAGCTGTGCTCAAAGTGGGAACGGGAGGGAAAGGAATGAAGGAATGGGAGCAGAAGTGTCTTCTCAGAGCTGCCCTGGCTCCAGTGTAATTAGGAGCAGCCTCAGGGCTGTTCTAAGTTCTCTTTGGCTGCAATGACCCCTAAAGGATTGTGGCAGCCAAAAATAGCTGGAATGCAACCGAATTACAACCACACCCCCCATGTCAGGGGCAAGAGGGAGACTGGTGCAGAGAATTGGACTTTAAAATGTACTACAAATGCAGTGGAATTAATTGGGGGGGAGAACACATTGCTCTTAATCATTGACTTCTCTCCTTTTACATTTTAATTTCATGCCAGAAAGCAACAAACCCTTTCAAGTTCATCTGAAGCTCATTAGCTCTCCAATTTATTCAACAAAAACAAAAGCAGCCTATATGGCAACCATTATTTTAGAAATCCACAGCTGATCGGTAAAACCTTGGCAAAGTTAGGGGCCTTCTATTTAGCTGCACAAAATTGCTTTTTAAATAGTTTTGGGTAGTTCATGCTTTTGAAAGGTGTCAAGCCCAGGAGACAGAAATCCTCTTTTAAATACAGAGAATAGAGACAGTGCAGGCCTTGACTGGTCATTATCCTACCAAACTGCCACAACCTGCCCTGTAGGGGCCACCTCTAGGGGGTCAAGAGAGAGTGGTTCTCTCTCCAAGCCATAGACTAATCCTGCAAGGTGCTGAGCAACTGGAGTAGAAGGCACTCTGCTCCTAGGAGGATCAGGCACTTAATCCTTGGCACCTCTGCTAACAAGTTCACCTTGATATTGATATTGCTTTTGTGATGTAGACAAATCCAGTGGGAAGGACTGAGACCTAACTCATTTCTCACAACCATGAGACGGTAATACATTTCTATCATTCTTGTCTTTGGCTGGACTTACATCAGACTTACAGAATAAAAAGGCTGTATAAATACCATTGCCAAGCCGGAAGATAGTTAATAAAAGCACTGGAGACTTTGAAAAAGGTCTGATGGAGCTATTGCTTCTCCGACTAAAATCTATGGCAAAACTCTCACTTTAACAGGAGCAGAATTGGGCCCTTTATTACAATGGAATTAGATCAGGGATTCAAGAGAACCAATTCCACACACAGTACAGAACACAGCATGAGAGAGCTTAGTGAGAACACTCTGCCCACTAATAGATTTTGCTTCTAAATGAACAAAATGGAATTAGGAGTTCAGATTATAAATCTCAATACACCAAAAGTTAATTATATGATTATGAGACCTTTGTAATGAATACATCCTAATTACAACAATTCATTGCAATGATTCATTTGCATGGATTTTACTCTCATTATAGTCAAGCTTTATGTCAGCTGGTATGCAGTCAATGTATCTTTTTACCTATATTCGATTTTATATCAAGTATTCATTTGAGGGAACTGGCTCCAGACCCATATAACAACAGGTTAGGAATTGTTTATAATTAATGCTTTCAAAAAGCAAAAATCACAGGCTAAAAAGAAATGTCAGAATTTTTTTTTTTTTTGCTTCAAAGGAAAACTTAAAAAAATGTGATTTCATATTTGGTGGA